AGAGTTCCATCCAACTCTGTGGGCTTCGTGGTCGTGCGGCGTCACCTGTCGTTCAGGCGTATTGTGATTCCCGCTCCAGCCGGTGTAACTTTTCGCAACCTGAAAATGTCCCTACCTGGGCGTCACAATATCAGCTTCAATCGACCAAATCGATGCGACGAAGAGACTGCTGGCTTTCTTTTTCTGTTAAAGTCGAACAGCTTCGCAGCATTCTAGAACCTCAGTGGGCGTGCACAAACAAATGTTCAATCGCTTGTCTCTCTTTCTCCCGTCGCTTCATTGGTCTTCCTTTCAAGCTTCCGTGAAACGGATGAGCGAAAGAGCGCTCGACTTTGATAGTTTTCTCTTTCATGAAACACATCAACAGAGGTTTCATGACGTATATGACGGAAAATGAAATAACACATTTAAAGCATTTCTCACGTGAAAACAGTTGAAGATTACACGTAATATGTTTAATTTATCTTCCATCCACATATTTATCTAAAAAAAAAATAACGAAAACGGGACATAACGCATTTTAAACAAATTGAAAGAACGGTGATAGAATGTTCGTGAAAGAGGATTGAAAGTCATAATGAGGTTTCGTTTAACTAAAAAATCGACATTACTTACATTGAAAGCGATGAGCAAAGCAACGACGAGAAGATCCACAGCCAGCGTTTCCTTCTAAGCGTGCTTCTTTTTCATTATTATGTCTTGCCGATAGTCTAGCTAGGCGTTATAGAAATGAAGCGTTGTACACGTTTGTATGAGAGAAACAAAACTCGAGTTCATTTTAGAGCTTCGAAAATGTAGAGCCCTGGTCCCTACTAGTGTGGTGTGTTGTCAGTTGTCTAGCGTTAAGTATGCAGTCTGTGCAACCTCTGGTTGAAAACGGTGTCAATTGTCTTTTAAAAGCTCTGGAGATCTGCATGGAGATTTTGTGAAGAAAGGAAATAGCTAGAATTCGGAAGATAAATCATATAGAATATTCCTAAGATAAAACTTAAGGAGTGTGCTGATACGAATACCGTGGACCCTCGCTAATCTAAACGACACCTCATTCATATTAACGGGGTTCATTTTTAATTTGAACTTCTAGTAACCCTATCAGCGTGTTTCTGGTTGCCTTATTTGCTGTTTTGTTTTGATTCTGCGTTCCGTTTTGCAATGTTTCATTTCGCTTTACTCCGCGTCATGTGTAAAATGACGTTTAGGCAATGTTTAGGCTCTGAACCATTTGGTGGATTTTTTTAAGTTTTGGTTAAAATTTGACATATGGAAAGTTATCGATTAAACCTGCTATCCGAGTAGAAGAAGTTCAGTTTTGACAACCGTGGCTCGAAAACCGGTCGATCGACAGCACGGGGATTTTCGAACATAGAAAATAACTTTCGAAATGTCACTTTTAACCACGAGTTAAATGTAACTCAGCAAATGGTTCACAGCCTTAGTTTGCACGCCGTGCAGATAAGCGGGGTTCAAATTAAAAAGTGGTCAGATTAAAACCGATCATATTACCGGGGTAGTGAGAATAATTTCAATGGAATTCTGTCCAATGTTTCTAAAGAGATTCATTTTTATAAAATTTTAAGAAATTTAAACGGAATTATGCGAAAAGAACATCTGGCAATTTCTGGGAGATTTCCAAGCCCATTTTGACAAAGTACTTGAGTACTTAGAAAAAACTGAAGAGGATTTCAAAACAATTCTGACCTTACCTACAAAGCAGTTCAAAGGTAATTATCGGATAAGTCTGAAAAGTGACGTTCATTCTGAAGAGTGTATCAAGGAAATTATTAAGAATATTATAAGGGAATTTCATAGAGAAAGACTAGTCATAGAGAAAAATTATTTCCAGTTTGTAGGGTTACCATATGGTATCCTAAAGGAGGACATGTCCCCCTTTTTCAATAATTTTTCTAGCTTTGCAAATCATGAATTTTGTGATAGCTCGCATATTATTAAAACGTTTGATAAAAACTCATTGTCCTCATTTAATGTTAATAAAAGGAATCATTGTCCTCCTTAGTCTCCAATCCTCAAATGAAATGTCCTCCTTTTCAAGTTTTTGATATGGTAACCCTAAGTTTGGGGGAATTGTTGAATCGGAGAGTGATTAATAAGAGATTACTAGAGAGAACTCTTAGAATGTTACTAAATTTTTTTGGATATAATCAAGATTATTTTGAAGTGTGATGGAATTCTAGGATGATTCAAATGGAGCTTTGAAAAAAGGACGAAGATATCCTGTGAAGAGTTCCAAGAAAAATATAAATTCCAGAATTTAGAATCATGTCATGTCATGTCATGAAACTTCAAACTTTTTTGGAGCATTCCAGATTTTTACAGCTTTTATATTTTAACTGGTCCAGATTTTTTTTAAAAGGACCTGGCAACGCTACCTGTGAATGCAGAGGAAAAAGAGAATATGAAAAATATTCAATACAATTCGTTGCTCAGGGTACAAAACCGGATAAAAACTACTGGGCCTTATTACGAGTGTCACTTCACGGTGAAAACGAAGTGAAGTGATTGTCGTGTATATCAAATGGGAATCACTTCACCGTGAGTGATAAGTTGTCACTTCACCGTGAAGTGCTATCGGTAATAAGGGGCACTGTAGCACATTGGTTTGCGCCCAAAAGGATTCTGCTGTACTTGAGAGGTACGAAACACGAAAAACTAACGTACAATGGGACCGGAGACACGAATTTCTACGGCTATAGCCACGCAGATTGGGGGAATGATCCTTATACCCCGTACAGACTATGGCTTATATCATGTAATATAGACTGTCTTGCAATGAGCACTCATAAATCTAGTTTTCACTGGAAATCCTAAGTATGAGTGCTCATTGCAGGACAGCTTATATTACATGATATAAGACATAGTCTGTACGGAGTATTACGCCTATTCTGCGCGGCGTATGAGACGAGGTGACTCGCTGTCACTTCTGAAGTGACAATTATCTCGTCGCGTGAGGTGACTCTCCATTTGATTTGAACGGGGACTCACCTCACCCGAGGAGACAATTGTCTCTTCACCATCACTACTGTCACCTCACCTCACACGCCGCGCAGCACAGGACTACCTTGCACACGAGGGTCTGTCACTGGTAACTGTTTTCTGTACGTATTTCCTCTAGGATAAATAACCCATTTTGTGCGACCAAATTCTAAATGGAACCGACTTTATCTGCAACCACCATCTGTTCGTCAGTTTTGGTACTTGAAATTGATGTCTTTGTTAGGGATCGATGTTTTTTGTACTCGTTCAGAGTAAAATTTTCCAGACGTGTTCGTTTTTAGGAAAATCCTAAGGTCAGGAAAGCCGTCAAGCATCTACTACTGTATCTTCGCAGAAAGACGCAGTTCCGTTTGAACTATATGCCGATACTGACTGCTCCACATGCTAACTGCGTCACGAGCTTCGTAAATCCATAATGTCTCCAGAAGCATTGGAGTGGATCCTATTTATCATTCGCTTTACGGCTCCAAGTGTTATTTTTTTGGTTCGTTCATTGAAACTCCAAAGACGTACCAAAACAGCCATTGAGTTAAGCATATCTTAAAAATTTTTAGGACATCGCAAAATCCATGTTGGCACAGATCTGCTTGTTCTACCCACAACTGTAAATAATGTATTAGCAATGCAATGATGCGCTTTCGCCTTTAGCAGTTTCGATCAACTAAATATTATCAAATTATGGATTTGGTAAATCCAAACATATCACACTAAACCTAACCCGTGAGAGTCCACTACGATCTTGGTGCCGTTCTACTTTCTATTCTCCGTGCATCGCCACTCAACTTCTACCTTCTATTTTTTTTTCTATCAAACACTTCCTCTTAAATGCCGAGGAAGGGACAAAAACTTTCCGCCGGACAAAAAAATTGAGCAATCGTCAATCAGTTTCTCGCGTTTCGTTTATGGTTCATAGTTCGTTTGTTACTGAGTTTTGTTTTTGGTATCATCGTTTCTTTATACAGATACTCACTCACACACACTAATCGCTAGTTAAATATATAATTATTTGTTTTGAAAAACTCACGTCCAAATGTTGTGCCTAACCAATCAAAACTGTACGAACGGAAGTAAATACTCACACTTAAACATCTACGAAGGATATGCTCGCGATCGGAAGCAAAATTAAAGCTCTTCTGTGTTAAATGTTAAAACAATGTAAAAGTCGTTCAAACTTTAAATAAAGCTAATCCTACGGTTAAACGTAACCTAAAAATTCCTGTAAATCGACAAAGTGCCTGCTCGAAACGACCTCCAAGTCCACAAAAGATCATCATCCCCCTCCGAAGCAACGGTTTCGCCATTTATATATATTTTTTTCGTGTAGAATTATGTAGACTCTGGGACGAAGAAATTACATTCATTTTGTTTTTTTTTTTCAATTACGATTTTCCCCATCCAATAATTATGGTATAGTAATTATTACTTTGAGACGGTTTTCCGTCTTCCTGTCACTTTTCGTCACTTCTGTCTCGAACACTCTACACCTAGTAAATGTCACGGTTTGTTCGCATGTTTCCTTGTCTTCTTCTCTATGCATGTGTTTTTGTTTTCTAAATTGTATGTATATAATCTTCTTCTTGCTTTTTCGTCCGATTTAACTTCATTCTTTCTCTGTAGTTAGTAAACCATCATTACATCGTAATAATCTGCTTCTGAATGTTTGTTTGATTGATTCTTCTTCTTTTTTTCTCTCATGAACTTTTTACTTGAAAGTGGGTAGTATCGTGTGTCATCGAAAAGATAGTTTTGTGATTAGGGTTAGAGTTGTTAGCGTTGCGTGTGTTTAGTCGATAGTGCTGAAATCGGTTAGGTTTTGTTCTAAGTCTAGTTTAATTTATAGTTGCCAAAAAACACTGTCTCGATACGTACTACATTTTAGAGGGTATGGGTGTGTTGTGAGCGTATTTTGGCGACTGCTTCAATGGGTATGTTCAATTTGAAGTTTGGATTGACTTGGCGTGACTTTTCTGGCTTCCATATTTTTCCGAATCGTAATTTAAGCTCATGTAAATAAGAATACAATCGATCACAAATCAGCACTTAAAATTAATACACAATCAATAGCGAAGACTGAAATATCCTTTACCAATAATACCACATACAATATAGACACTGATGCAAAACTTACACAGGTGTAAATGTACAGAATTTGTTCGGATTTTCGATTATTCCCAGCTCACAAATAGTTCGCTCTCGGTCGTTTTCGCCACAATGACAGCGACGAGGAGTTTCGTGAATAAATCCTGATGGAGCCGCTGTTGTTGTTGTTGTTGTTCACCCCAAAGTCACGCGAGTATACGGTAAACGGTTATACATATAGTATGATTTCTTTCAAGTGGTATGATAGGGAGGTGGATATGGCGATACGCTTGTCCTAGTTTGGGAGCATAAACTTACAGGTTAAGAAAGGGGATTCGGATGAAATTGGTTGATTCTAGTAGGAGGGCTACTACTACTGTCCGCTACGGTCGCTCCTCGACCGTCGTCAGTCATTTACAGATTACACTGCCATAGTATCGTAGGCTGTGAGTCCTGTACTGGCGGGGGCTGCGGCTTGTTTGGCGTACTTGGGTTTGACTTCGTTTCTACAATGAAAAAAGAATCGAAAGCAAAGCGTGTGGGAAAGCACGCGCAAAACAATAGACACAGTTATTAGATATCGTCTAGCTGGTGCTACCAGAAGAAGTTGGGAGTTTCTCGTGGGATTAGTATAGAGGCAGGTCTTGCTCACAGGGTGCACATATCGGAAGGATTTAGGGACAGTGTTATTTGGGTAGGTTAATATCGCTTTTGCTGTGCAGGATTGTGGCAACAGGGCTTAATGGGTAGGAGTTGCATGATATTTATTAGGTTTTGGCATTTTTATGAGAGTTCAGTACAATCACTTCAAAAAACTAATGGAGTTATAGCGTTATATAGTTCAGATCTTGATTCAGATTTAAGAGGTGTATTTCCATGAGATTTAAGGTATCCATTAAATCAATCGACAACTGTTCATTATTCTAAAAAAATACGTGATTCTATGTTGTTTAGATGCCGGGCTGGACTAACAACATGTTTGGTGCTCATATTCATGCCTTTCGAGCAACCGAAAAAAAGGCGGGACTTAAAATGTTAATCTATAGGCATAACTATGGGTACCAGTTGGTTATTCAACATTATGTTCAGGAATTGATATAAATCCATTTCGCTAATTTAGTTTAGAGCACAAATTGCCAATTTGTAATTTGACTCCTGATGCACGATTGTGCCACAATCGTGCATCAGGAGTCAAATTACTGCATGATTTTGATGGTGCTTCGAAAGCAACATACTGGTTTCTGTTCGTCAGTTTTGATACTTGAAATTGATGTCTTTGTTAGGGATCGATAAAGGGAACTCCAAGGGGTAATCAACTCTGGTTCACAATGGGTTCGAGGACCGTGCCTTGCCACTTTTCGAAAATTCCAAGGAAAAGTCTGTAAGTATTTTCTGCACCATAGGTCTCGTCAAAACTAGCAAATCTCATCAGATTCGTAGCGAAACTCCCAGCGGCTCGTAGTTTCGTCCAGAACAGCTTCTATTCGGGCCTCACACCAACAGAGTTCTTCCACATTATGGGCGGTCTTGTCTTGTCGATACGGCAGTCCAGACGACCGAAATGGGTTACATCTAGCGACGGTTGGTCAAATGACTGGGAGATTACTTACGGTATGGAATGCAAATGCAACTGTCGATGAAAATCCTTTGCACGGCGAGGGCAGAGGGCTTCCAGGATGAAAATTTTCTTGTTTTCCTCTGAGATATTCTTGCCAGTCATTGGTTTCAATTGGGTATGGAATTCGATGGGAAATCCACAGGATTCTATAGGGATGTCCATAGTGGTCCCTGTACTGCTGAGGATTGTCGATACGTATTAACCTCAACTATTCCATCAGATCTGGACCTATGTACGGTTGTCTTAGCACAATAGTTTAGGGTTTATAGGAACAAATCAATGCAATTTCTATTCCATTCCGTGAGTCCGACATCAAGCACATACCCATCATCAACGATCTGGTCATTTTGCTGATACATCTCTGTCATCATCCTTCTGATGAACTCAAGGGGTTGATCACTCCGCACAGTGTGCCAAAAACAGATTTGGGCACACTTGGGCTCATTCATTGGCACTGTTTGGCACACATGCTTAAATTTTATATGGCTTTTAACTATCTCGCACTATCTCTGCGCCTGTGTCAAAATTTCACTGTTGTTAACCGTAACCGTTAATTTTTGCACAGTCCCGCCATGGATTCCCCAAATACTGAGTTAGATTTTCCGAAACACAGTCAGCGTACATTCTAATGCCTGTCCGAAGCAGAATATCATTCCACACGACACACATTCCGGCCACCAAGTATACCAAAACCAGGGCAATCGCAGCTGCGCTGAAAATCATCATCGACATCCCACTCACAGACCGTTTTTGGTATGTAAAAATTGCTCCTCCGTGAAAGTTTATCGCTCTAATCATCCGGAAATACTTCCCCGGAGGCAGTTACCAAGAATTAATTAATCCTCAGTTATGGCACCTGATTCGGGTTGAACTTCAGAATACCTTTTTCTCTCCAATGGAATCTGCGTTTGACTTCCGAGCAGATGTGATCCTTCAAGAAAACCAAATAATCTCGCGAATGATGACCGCAGTTGATAAGAATCTTCTATTTCAAGACCAACAATTGAAATGGCCTTAACTCCATTTTGTAAACAAACCTTGTAAGGCCATTTTCTCGCGAATCGAAACCTTCATTCGCAAACCTACACGGTAAGAAAAAAGGACCCAACGGAAAGTTCACTTTTACCTACTTTTGACTAGTTTGTCTCCTTTTCTCCTTCTAATGTTGTTAAAAACGGAGGAGCAAAACCACCCAACAGGGGTAGTAAAGTGTGCGAACCCAACGTTGAGTATAATCATATTTACCTACTGTTGGGTACAACTAACTTACTTTTGGTTAAAAAGCCAGTGGCAAATTCCATACGAATTGCACACAAGTAAATGAAATTTTCTTTGACCCGCTTTACCTACTGTTGGGTTCCTGCACTATAGTGCCGAGATGAGTGAAAAGAACTTAATTTTGGGTACTTTTTTCTAACCGTGTAAACCACAATCGGGTAGAGGAGAATTTCCCCTACCTGTTCATTATGTTGGTTTGCCTTTGCGGACTTCAGTTCGCGAGAAAATGGCCTTACAAGGTTTATTTACAAAATGGAGTTAAGGCCATTTCAATTGTTGGTCTTGATTTGTCCTGTTCCTCTTATAAAACTCTTCTAGTTGTAACTATAGATATTATAGCTTGAATAGTTCGAAATCGGCTAGGAGGGCTAGGTCAGTTTTAGCTGACGTTTATTTTGAACTCGAATTTGATGTGCCTTCCGATGACTGTTGCTCCACTGGGTAAAGACGCCAGCGACGACGACTGGGTGGTGGTGAAAGTAGCAACATCAGTGAACATAGCACCATCACTGCTCGTCCGTTACAGCTCCGCCTTGTCCAAATTCGCTGACAGATCTCCGAAGCCAATTTCGATCCCCGGAAGAGCGATGGCGATGACAGGTAACACAGCAGCAGTTTGTCCCAGCGTCTTTAAACACAGATCCGTTTCAATGTTGTCTTCGTCAAGCGGTTGAAAGAACTCGACCGCCTTCTCGCGGGGATTCTCCGCTCCGGCCAGTTTGTACGGTATCAGCTTGTCCAGCTGGAGTGTGTCGTTGTTTTTTTTCTTTGTCATTTCCGTCATTTCAATCTCGCCAAAATTATCGTCGTCTTGGTTCGGATTCTTCGAATTTAACTGCTTGTTCAAAATCAAAACAAAAAATAACCAGGGGTCTTGAATTGAGCTGTCATATTAACCGGGTTGCCAAACATGCCATTATTAACAACCAAGCAAAGTCAGCTCAATGACTAGCACACTCGGCACTGCCGGCACAGCTGCGGTACACTGAGAAAAAAGTATGTGTGTAGAGTGACCACTCCTTGTAACAAACTAGATTTAATAATCAATCCAAAAAACCGATCCAGTGTTTCAAAACTTATGATTTAAAATGATTTATGATTTTTAGGACTACCCCAACATAGAAGGGATCACCCTAAAGGCGAAATAAAAAAAAAAAGGTAAAACTACAAGGGACAGCCCTATGGGGTTGCACGCAATGGTCTTATATATAAAATCTTATTTTTTAACTGCAGCAGGAGCTTGTGTTTTGTGCAGGAATAGGAATTTGAGCGGGGTTCTCTCTGTTTATACTCTTTAATATGACGCGCTTGACATAGATGGCCCACAGCGACTCACGAAGAGCTACTAATTCCGATCAATAGCTGTGCGTCTTCTTCCTCCTTATATGGATGGTCATGTAGGCTGCCGCTCGCTGCTTGCAGGCAGCCTTTCTCTGTGAACTGGAGAACACCACCACTCGCCACGCGGTGATTGAATATACACCGTTTGGTGAGACCGGAAGGAATTCAACTTTGAAATCTGTGTCAGGGAAATCACTTTTCACAGGCAAACGGTGATTATTTTAATTATCATAGCAACAGTTGCACATTGGTGCAATTTTCAATAGTGACATTTTGAAAAATGATATAGGGGAAATGGCTCTAATGTTGGCCTATGGATCTAACATTGATCTTATCTCAATTTTATCTAGATGAACGCGTCATTGGGACGGTACTAATGGATATTTTTGGTTGCTATTGAAAATTTAGTCGATTGCTGAATTTATGTATGGGCCCAAATTAGGGACACTTAGGCCGACATTACATACATTTCCCCTAGCCTTAATTTTAGAAGATTCGTAGAAAAAAATCCTATCGATTGGTGTATTCAGAATTAAAATCCATCATCTCTGGATCAAAATCAGAGCACTTTCATGCCACGACCGACTTTGGTATGTTAGATTTAAACATATATAGATAGAGCTGGAATTAGGCGTAACAGGTTTTGTAAACAATGCCTTCTCTTGATGATTTTTAGGAATTCAAGGCACGCCCACACAAACCAACATCACCATCGGGTACAGAAAGTGTTATCCAACCTGATGGTGACCCGAATGATGCCCTTGGCCACCACACACGGTGATTGGAACTGAATCCGATCAACGATTAAGGCCAACCTTGATAGCTAGCTGCTTGGTGGGAGTCTTTCGTTGTGAACTGGAGAACACCACCACTCACAACACGATGATTGAATAAACACCGTTTGATAGTGGAATTCAACTTTGAAATCTGTGTTAGGGAAATCGCTTTTCGCAGACAGTCGTTGGTAATTTTAATTATCATAGAAACAGTTGTACATTCGTGCAATTTTCGATAGTGACATTTTGAAAAATGACAAATTCTTAATTTTAACAGATGCGCAGGATTGGTGATAAAATTATTGAAATTGGTCCAGGGGCAGCTGAGTAATTAACGTTCAAAATCTTTCATAATTTTGTTACATGTTCCATTTTCGGTTTTCACAAAGTGTACCCCCAAATAGAAATCATAGACGTAGTCCTACGTCAAAAAAAGTTCCACGAAGTTTCTTGAAATTGTACAAAATTCCCGGAATAATTTCTAGTCTACGAA